AGCAGAGCTTTTGTGAGGGATGGCTTGGTAGACATCATCAGAACCTCTCTTTTATCTTTGCACTTGATCAACTTGACACCATCGCCGTTATGGAGTCCATAATCTCACCTCTCTGGAGTTTTCTCTGAACAATTGCTTTTTTGGATCCAACACGATTTATTCGAAGTTTAGTCTTCGTGAGAACGAGAACCTCGATCGATTCTTGTACGAAAACAGAATCGCCTCGAATATGTTAAAATAAATAAATCAAAATATATCGAACAGCAATAATAACTTGTCCGACTCTATAATCCTTAACTCAATCGAATTCAATTTTGTTTAATTCTTACTTGTAATGATCGTCTTTCATCAATCTCGTTTCGAACATACAATTGTTCGTAATACTTTATCAAAATTTTTTGAAAATTATTTTTATCACAAAAACGAGCATGATTGTAAAAATAAAAAACAAACAGGAAGTAACTACAGCACAAATGTTTATATTTTTGATCGATAGGAACCGATGATTGAATTATCACGTAATAATAATATCATAATTTTGAATTGATGTCATTGTTAAAAAAAGAAAAATTCTGGTTGTCTTAGACTACTGGAAGTTAATGAACTATTCTTCAAGGAACATTATTTTGTCATGGAAGTACAGAGAAATTTTCAAGTTCCGATAGGAGAAAAGTTCACTTATTAAAACTAATTGATTTCTGTGTATTGTACATAGGCTATTCTAATTAGGAACATTTTTGGCTTACTTTTCTTATTAGAAACATTACCTGTATTTACTGTCTTAGTAGTGATCGAGTTGCCATCTCTGGAATACAATAAAGTGAAAAGCATGCTGGGACCTAACATGACTTTTGTTCGATTGTATCATCCTACTCTCAAAACATAAAATAAGGGTAGACTTCACTATGTAGACAGAGGAGAGCATGGATCGTTGTTCTTCGGGGAGCGTTACGCGCCCCTACGCCGCGTCGCAGATATAAACGGTTGGCTATACGAACAAATGGTTTTTTAAAATTCTCTATAAGTCTTCATTCACACATATCTTCACATAATGAAGATTATTTCCTAATAAAATATATTCCATCATTTACTGATTGACAAACTTATTCTTCGATAAAAATATTCACATATTTCAAACTTTTATAAATAAAACATATATGTAACTAATAAGAACAAATCTTTTATTGTTAGAAATAAATCTTTTTCTGTGCTAGAATATGAAATACAACTATGGTGAATTATTAGTCATAATAATCTTTATGAAAAATTGACTTTTTTATTATCGCCTTCAAGTGTTGATGCATTACCAAGTGCAGCTTTCACATAACCAACAGCACGAGTTATCATTGATGATGCTGCATCCCAATATTCAGCTCCTTCTATAGTTACTTTTAGTAAACCTAAATTAGGATCATCAAGTTCCTTTGGAAACCTATAATAAAAAAAAAAAGATAATAAATTTTCTAATATAATATTTTTAATTTACCAAGCTTTTAAATATGGATTCCATAATTCTTTAGCTTTAGCTTTATCTTGAACAACTTCAGCACGACCCCTTATACTGACAAATGCTACATTATTTGGATTACTAAATGATACATTAACTTGTGAATGATTTTTTATTTCAGATACTTTTGGTGAATCTTGTCGTGTAAAAAACCTTTAAAAAACAAATTATAAACAATGTTTAGTTTTTAATATTCTTTGATAAATTCTATTTAACTAACCATAATTCATTTTTTGAATCACTATCACAATGTTTATATGCCATTGGACGTGATCGAAGACTACCATCTTCATATGTTGTTGTCAACATTGCAAATTGTATGTCTTTTATTAAATTTAAGACATGTTCCTAATTATAAAACATAATAATCTGATGAATCCAAAAAAAACTATGAGCGAAGATCAGAATTTTGTACTCTTTTCGAATGTAAACTTAGAAATGTTATTCGAGAGTAGTGAAATAATCTTAGAAAAGTCAAAAAAATTAGTTTGGATAGAAATATTTTCATTATTGCAATTTGAAACTAAAATTTACCATCTTTATTTCTATATATATATATATATATGCTTATAACGTCACTTGGATAAAAGCTACAACTTAGTTCAATATCATATGTTATAGATAAATGTCGGCTTTACAAAATGACAAACTGTGACAATTTTTATTATATTCGAAAAGGAACGTATAGTACTAACAAAAACTTGTTGGCTCGTTATTTTCAGATCTTTCAAAAAATTTCTCACTACTCTCAAGTACAAATAGACATAATATTTCTAGGTAAATATTCAAATTCTGTTTGTGATCTATGCTGAAACACTTTCAAAGAGAAAATTTTGTAAGTTCACATTCGAAAAGAGCACAAATTCATAGCTTTTTGACTCGTTAGAAATATGTTAAAAGTGAACAAAGATTTTGTTTAAAAATTTGTCGATCATCTATTAGTATAATAAAATAAGAATGACTTAACATACTTGATCTTTAGTTTGAGTTGAATCGGATGACGACATGTTAAAAACGCTTTTATGATACGTTAATGATAAACTGAATACAAGTTGAATGTATATATACGTATATATATATGGAGATCAATGAGGACAAGGTTATTTCTTTCACAAGAGAGAAATGTCGGGTATATTGTACTGCTTATGTAACGCTTTATAAACCAATGAAAAAGATAATAATAGAAGAACGAGAAGAAACAAACAGAAACGATTAAATGCAAAGGTCTTTCAGTACAATTTTCTTTTCTCTTTCAGTTCTATACAACGTTTCTAAATATAATAAATGCAAAAAAAAAAATTATTTTTACCAACATTAAAAATATTCTTTTTAATAGAATTTATACAAATCAAAGTCTATTTTGAATCATTAAGATTTACTTTTTAAAAATAAATAATTATTTAAGATAAACAATATTTTTGAAATAAAAATTTCAACTTGATAAATTTATTTCAAGTTCACTATTACTGTTCATTTTGTATTTTGTCATATTTATTCTTTGAAGAAATTGAATTTCGATAACGCTACATAAAAGAATCATTCAAATAGTATGACTTTTTTAGAATCTTTTAAAGATCAATTATTTATGAATATAGATTGATCAGAATGCAGCAAATATCGATAATCAACGATGTTGAGTAACTGAAAAATAATTGTTTAATCTTGAGAGTTAGACTAATTCATTTATTAAAATACTACCAAAGCTAGAACATTGTAATAGAATTTACACTACAAGTTTAAATCAAATTGCAACGAATATAAACATTATTTCAATTAAGATTTTTTTCAAAGATTATCTTACAAAAAATAGGGTTTTATACATTCGAAACAAACGACTTGCATTATGAAATTGTTGAAGATACAATACGTTGAAAGTGCCGCTATCTTCTATGAGTTGTACTTAGTTCCGATTTCGATGTATCTGTTAGCATAATAATAAGATGCATACTAAAAAAAATTTTTAAATCAGAAAAACTTTTTAGTTTCGTTATGCCTTCATAATTTTTACATAGGGTATGGTTGCATAGCAGAACACTGAAAATCTACACTCACACCCACCATTTCATAGAAAACATGAGATTGGAGATTCTTATGGAAAAAAGACCTGAAATTGTCGGTGGAAATTTCTGAATTGGTTGAAGTTGAATTATAGGACAATGTTTCGATCAGATATTGATCAACTTTTTTTTCTAAGATAGTCATGTATCTTCCTACATTTAGAGTATCAACAAGCAAAACTTATTTCTTTATTTCCTGTAATGTATCTGTTGTTTTATGAAACCAATGTATTAATTGATAACATATATGTATAATGAGTATGCATTCGGTGTTGAACACACATCGAATGTCTGTAACTTACTCTCTAGCAGAGAAAAAGTCGAATATATTCGAATGGTACGATAAATATTTGACAAATGAATGAGAAGGTGAGCGCGTAAGGAACACGAGAGAAATTTTTTCGAATTTCAGACATTCTTTTAAGAATACTTGAGAAATCTAGAGAATTCTTCGCAAGCTTAGGAACTTTCATAGAATCTGAGAGTCTTAAACCTCTTAGATGTGTTACTATTGCACGAAAATTGATAGAACATTTGTAATAATATTTTTCATGACTGTCTTCATCACTAAATATCAGGCATCGAAATTGGGCCAACTTTTGATGACTCGGTTCAGCTTGTATCATGTCAAGAATTGTTCATATTTGCTGGATGGAACTCAGAGTGGTACTATTAAATGTAGATTTCTACACAATAGAACTTCGCTATCACTGCTGTCATTTATTAGAACAAAGTAAAAACTTTATCATCATAGTGATCACGAACTGAATTACTTTTGGAACCGAAAGAACAAGATACGTTTGTGAGTACTTCAACTCTTTGAAGATTATCATCTATTAACAAAAAACTTTCATGAGTAAAATGTCAGCTGAATAATTTCAAAGAGTCAGATCGGTTACTATTTCCAGTTACACTGCTAATTTTAGTATACAGTCGAACATTGTTTTACTTCAGTAACACTCAGTCGATAGTGCACTCGGCCTCGTGTGTGTGGATCAGGAATACTACCGAACTGAATAAATGTTCAGTTTTGACTTATTGGCTAAATGAAACAATCGCGTAAGATCCAGCAAGGAATATTTCAAATGTATTCTTCATTCATTTTTTGGTTTTGACATGACTGTTTGGTAGAAAAAAGTCGTGCTCTTACGACCTACGCAAAGCTGATATCTCTATTTCACTTCGTTCATGATTTAGAAAGATTTTTCTGAGATCCATGATTTCAGCGACTTGATCTGCAATCATCTAGAAATTTCTGTAGGCAGAGAGTAATTTACCACGGTGAGTCTAGTGATAATGTTTATTTTTGGTTTCAAAACTATTCGAAACCAGTATTTCGAAATTTATGAAATATAGGCTGCTTTGTTTTTTTTATGAGTTTTACTAATAAATTTTTATTTGAAACAAACAAGCAAAAAAACATTCTATTAAAAAAATTAATGTTTCGCTGGTAAAACATTTTTTTCAAAATAACCAGGATTTATAATATTTCCTGCTGGATAATAATTTGCAACTATATAAACTTCTCGTTCATCAGCTGATAGAGCAAATCCAACACCCATTCTTTCTGTTGATTTCCATATCATTTGTGTAAAATGTCCTGTATCTTCAGAATAATATGGACGTTTAAAATCATATAATTCAATTTCATCATACCAATGTTTTGTTGCTTCTTTTGCACTAACTGGAACTTTACCATGAGAAATCCATTGCATATAAAGATTTTCTCCCAAAGATTCATTTCCGAATCTATTTCCACTATGTTCAAATTTTGATGTTGCTGCTAAATGTTCAGCATATTTTTGTGCTATATAATTTAATCGTTGACTAATTGTTAATGGTGATGCTGAATGACGTGCACGATAATAATTATGTAATTGTAACACATCAGAAACAAATTTTGAATACATTATTTTTAGTGATTCGAAATGATCTTTAAACCAAAAAAAAAACAAATAATATTTTTATCAAATGAAAAGTAGACATGAAACGTACGATGTTCATGTACTCGAGCACGTTTTTGTGCTATATCAGCATGAAGTTTTGATGGACGTTCATATCGATGTCGAGCTTTACGAACAACTTTTTTATCATTTTTATGATCTTGTGATGGTAAACGATCAACTAATTTAGCTAATATTTTATCCCTAAAAATAAAAGGATTTTTAACCTTGAAAATAAATATGAAATTAATATTTACATTTAGTATTATCGATCAAAACAAGCGTAAAAATATTTTATTCGTTTTTTTCTTCTGTACACTATCAAACACCTTTACAGTCTGGTGTTTATATAGTCTACCTATTCTGTCATTATATGACATGGTGTCTCATTGCTTCAATGCATGACTGGGATAAGTACACAATGAATCATCATATTAATAATATATAGATTACTCATACAGATTACTTTCGATAATGTAGAAGGAAAAAACAAATTACCATAAATTATGACGAGAATGTAAAAAATAATTTCAAACTATATAATCTATATATTTATACCAGAGTTGGGACAGGACCGGAGTTTTACCAGTTCATCATTACAAAATTATTGTTTACACCCAAGAATTTTCCCTACTGAAAACGGTGTTTTTATGAAATTTTCAAGCCAGAAGAATGTGTTTGCGAAAGACTCAATAGATATCTTGTCTTCAACTGGACTATAAATGATTGATCATTCTCTTTATAGCTCTATCGATTTCTTTCTCGTGTATCCACTCAATTTAACCTAGATCAAATAATTTATTTTCTTGTTCTACTTAGGCAGCTGCCTGAATTAAGAAAAATAAATATTTACAATTTTGTGTTAGCTTTGTTATAAACTTGGTTTTTTTTCCTTTTTTGAAACTAAAATGAAAAAAAAACAGATTTGATCTCAATAGCTAATTTATATCGATATCAGCCTCGAAAGATTGACGCACCTTGCTATAAAATATGATGGTGAGAGTTTCATTACCAAGTTTTAGTTTTCAGTTCGGATTAGGAGTGACGATATTCTGTTAATCTATTTTAAATTTAAATTTTTGCAAATATAAATTTTAAAAAGTTAAATTTATTTTAAATTACATAAATTTTTAATTCAGTTTAAATCAATATAAATTCAATTTAAACGAAATAAAATTCAAATAAAATTCATTTAATTAGATTTAAATCTCATATGAATTAATGTGAATGGTTTGAAAACCAATTAAATGAATTTATATTGATTTAAACTGGACTTAAATAAATTTAAACTTACAAAATTTATTCTTGGATTTATTGAACTTTCGTAAATGTAAATTGATCACCTCTAGTTCCGATTTCTACATGTACATATTCAATTCCCCTTCGTCACCACTTTATGCGAACAGATACTTTCATGGTCGGTTATTTTCGCCGGATTTTTGCCAGTTTGGCTGTAGAATTTATCCAGCCAGTTGCTGGCTGGACCGGACTATATAAAAAAAAAAACTGTCCGGTTCCAATTCTGATTTAAATTCGAAAATATGAAGTCAAATGATGCTTGATAAGGTCCACTAAAATCATAGCGTGAATGAACAAAAAGAAAATTAATTTTTTTAAGAAAAATATAGAACTATTTATATCACTTTTTGAAAGCATAGATAAACTCATATATATCAAATATTTATTCTTGGCATAGTAGTCATGCCAAATACAATTGTTCCATTATCTTGACCATGAATAATATCAACACGTGATGATCTAATCAAACAATGACATTTCATTATTCGTAAAAGAAAATCAAATTTTCTACGTAAATGATGAACTGATCCAAGACATACAAATGGTAAAAATAATACAAATAAAATAAATATAAATCACGTTCTGTTGCAGCAAATATTTTGGAATAAAAAACTTGAATACCAATAACAATAAATAATGGAGCATTCATAATAATATATAGACAAGCAATTGAAAGTAATTGTATAACCATACGATATTGTTTTCGTTGAGAAAAAATTTGTCCTTGCATACGATGTTTATGTCGAATAACTCGAATTAATAATGCTAAACTAAATATAACAATTATTATACATGGTATTACACTATGTATAAACATATCATAAGCATTTAGAAGAAATGTTGTACGTTTAAAACATGGTGAACCACAAAGAACTTGTTGATAATCAAATATTTGATTACATGGACAAAAAAATATTGTATACATATAGAAAATAAATGGATAAATTAAACAAATTATAATAGGTATATAATGACCATAGAATTTTTGATGTAATAAACGAAAATATTGTTAAGAAAAAACAAGTATATGACGTTCAATAGATACCCATGTCATAAGAAGCATTCCATTTGCATATAATACATAATCAATATACATCCAAAAATAACAAAAATATGATGATGATAGATGAACAATTCTATTTTGTAAATAGTTTAACGTAATTGAAAGATCAATTATAGTACTTAGAAGACTAACAATAAGCATTATAATAATAACATGATTAGCTAACAATTGACGTTGTTTTCGTGATACAAACATATGATATAAAATGAAAATAGAACAGAAAATAGATGGTATTTGAAGAATCAATAAAATCCAAAATTTAATTGAACGTGTCAATAATGTTTCATATATGAGTGTTGATGACATGTTTTAATCGTTGATAAGCGTTTATTTTGCTAGAAAATTAAAAATCAAGTTATTCTAATGTAGGTTATTTCCAATGTTTTATTCAGAATGAGAAATGAGGGTCAGGTTGGCTGTGCTGAAGTTTGAAATCACCCTTCGGAAAAAGAAAACTTAGTATTTCCCTGAAATTTTTGCATGAGAAATAACAGTTATGAAGAATATTGTACTTTTTTCACATCTATTAATATGTTGATAATTTTCTCGCAATATTTTTCTAAACAAAAACCATTAAATATGTAGGTAACGAAGGATGAAATCGAAGTTCCACTTATAAGAAAAAAAAAGTATATCATTGTTTACATATCAAATGTTTACGATGAAGTTGTATGAATGTTTCTATTTAAAACCATTTATGCTAAATATATTATTCTTGACACAATATTCTGTTTTCATAATTCACACAAAAAAAAATTGCTCACTTATAAATAGTTATTCTAGACAATTCATGATATTTACTTTACAATTGCAAAGATTTTAATATAAAAAAGTAAAAACTTTTCTGAAAAAAAAAGAGCAACGATACAATCTTTCAATGACATTTTTCTACGAGATTATGAGGCACATTTGTTAACTATTCCTTTATTAAATCATCTTCCAGAAATTCAATAAAGAAACAGTTCATATATTAGAACAAGACATTTTTCATATACGATCTGTGACGCGAGCGGTGGGGAGGAGAATGCACAAATTTCTACCCTATATAATCCGCCACTCCTTTTAGATCATGTTTTACAAAACTATATTCCAATTTTCACCTGAATTCTCAATGGTAATTAAGATATTTCTTAAAAATTGGATAACTGAACTTTTCGTTGCATGAACACAACATTGCAATATCGCGTGATATTATATATTTGTATAAAGAAAAAAAATGACTTTATAAAATATGCTGTCGATAAATAAAATAACAATATTAGTTTACTCCTTGTTGAAGTGCGCAAAGGTTCCTGGTACATACTGAAAGCAGGATACCGTGAACTCAGTATGTCCGCTAGGGATAGCATACTTTACAAAATCGTTTTCTGTTATCCAAATATATAGCATCAGGAAATATTACAATATTTCAGAAGAGCTATGTCAAAAATCTGTACTTCAGTTTTCTAAAACTAAGTATTGTAAGAATCATCCATTAAATCCAAGTAGTAAGAGGTGATAGTCTTGAAATTGACATAACTTGTATATCGAATATGAAGATTTAAAGAAAGAAATTCATTAAAAGTTATTTTTTTTTCGGATGATATCAAAGCTACTGTTCATCAGTGAACACTAGATTTCACTGATCTTCTTAAAGTATTTCTCTACATATCAGAAGACTTGAGCAGCAACACGAATTAAAAGAAGGGATGCATTGTCGGTTCGACTTCTGTATGGAAAATTTTACTGTTGATACGATAATCTAATGATTTATATCAACAAGAAGATCTTTGAAATATGCAAGATCAAATATCGAAGTTTTATCATCACCAATATTTCAAACTTAACTTAATAAACCGCTTCATTCATGAAAGAAAATTATTAGTAGATTAAGTCATTGCGGCGAATAGTCCGATCACCGTAGACTTACGTACAAAAGTACGCTTTTGTTGGTAACTCTTGTGTCTCCATCTACACATTAATACTATATTGCCAATAATATACCGCTTATTTTATTTTACTTTGTCTGATTGAAGCATGCTGTCAACTTTTCTTAGGCTTGACCTGCCCAAAACAAACTATGAATCTCTTTAGTCTGGCTGTATCTGTCATTTATTTTCATTGTCCTGAATACTAGATGACTCAAAACTTTGTTTGCTAATAACTTTTGATAAGAACAAGATAGAGATCTGTGGCTTTCACTGTTCCAAGGAGACTGCATGACTCAAAAATGTTGGTTGACAACCAACCTATCATCAGTCGATGACTTTCACAAAGGCACTGATACATCTATGAAGATCACAGAGAAGCTTAATTCTAAAAAATATCCTAGATCTGTGTGTCGACGATCAACGTCCGTATTCTCAGCTTCTAGTTCTGTGCCATCTTCATAGAGCTACCAATATTTTTCTGAAGTCCATAGATTGATAATTTGATTCTCAACCGATATTGTCAAGTCATACATGAAATCATGCAATCACACAGTTTCCTTCGAATGGCGAAAGCTGTAGCTGTCTCTACCCTGTTCCTATGAAAAGTTATTCGTAATAAATGACTGTCGGGTGACTTTTGCATCACTCTGGATACACATATATTGAGAAAAGATATTTTGAGTAAGAATGTTTTACATGCATTTGATAGACTAGTTAAAGAGAGCATATTAAGTTATGCCAGATTACGAATAAATAATTATGAATTAAGGAACAATATGAATTAATCAACAGTGCGTGTAAAATTCTAATAGTAATTGATTAGGAGGAAGTGCGAACTGTTATTTAATGAAGCGGATAAACAAAACAATAGAAATAAATAGACAATAAACATTGTATCCGGTCACAATGATAAAAGTAGAACATTTCTCGTCCTCCACAAGCAAAAATACGCCACTATACATTTTCATTTCTACATTTTTTGCTTAGAAAACGAAGTTTTTCATTGAAAACTTTAAAAACAAACATGACAAACAGACACCCTGTTTTAGATATTGACCTATCTCGAAATTCGTAGCTTGTACCTGTCTCACACAGACAGATTCGATAACCATTTTGAATTTCTAATGGATACCTACTGCGATTAGTAGTATCCAAGAAGTATCTTCAACTATTGCACTTACGCAATACTTCGAGTATTAAATACCCCAAGGAAAAGCAAAGTGCTCAAGCTACTTACGGTTTTTTTCGCATTTGTTTTAGTTTTATACGTACTTTCTTCATTAATTCTTTTTGATGGATGTATTAAATTATGAATTTCAATCAAATCAAATTCATGGTCTTATAACAAATGTATTAACATGCACGAGCAAGAACAATAATAATTAGTTTCATTTTATTTTTTCTTTTCTTTTTATTTCTCATATATATATATATATATGATAGTAAAAATTAATTTAGAAAAAAAATTTTTTTAAACTTCGTCAGATTCATATGTATACATTTTTTTTCTCTCTCTCCTCTAAAAAATATTTTTGGTTAATACAGTAAAACTGCTGTTCATTGTTTGTTATCATTGAAAAATGGTTATGATTCATCACAATATGAATTAGCTGAAAAAGCAACACAATAAAACACTTGATGCATTAATATATGAAAGTTTATTAAATTTACATATACCGAGATCAAAACAATAATACAAGACTTTGTAAAACTAAGTTAAGATTTAAAATCTATTGAAAATTTTTTTGAATTCATAAATATATTCAAATGAAAGAAGATAAACAACACAGAGAATGATCTCTGATTATTTCAAAACTAGTAAAGAACTTTATATTCTGAAATATTTTCCATTGATGAACATCTTTCAATAGTGAACAATTTTTAAAAATCTTGACGATGTTCATTTAAGAGAATTTTTACTACATATGTGAATAATCATATGTTTGTCTTTGTTTATCAGTTCTTAGCTGTGATAACACATTGCTATCTAGAGTTTTGTAAAATACGATCGAAAAGGAATGTTGAAGTATAGGGGATACAAATTTGTACCGTCTACAGACGCCTTCGTAACAACCCCTTCGTCCATGTCACAACCTGTGACAGACATTGATATACAATTACAGGCTGTATATATCAATAATGTCTTCTTACAATGAATGAGTTATTTTCTTAATGCATTTCTCGAGGATTAAATGGATGATGAATAAATGTGTTCCAAAATAGATCGAATAAAACAAGGTCCTTGTGATTAGGAATAGCAGCTGCACTATATTTCATATTTTAATCCCGCAGTGATTGTACTAACAATTTCTGTTTCAGATTGGAAATCCTACATTTATGATATTGAATTTATGTAAACTAATCAATGAATAACAATACTTACGAAAACAAACTTTAGATCTATTTGAACAAGTTATCATCTAAAATTCAGAAGATTTTGAATAAAATCTACTTCATTTTATATTCATTATGTATTTTCCTTTATCTTTTCTAGCAAATAAATATTCTTTCAGATAGAAAAATCAATTATAAATTGATTTCATAATGCATAGCAAATTTTATTTCTTTTTTTTGAAATATCATAATATTTTTTATTTTCCGAACAGCATTTACTTGTGGAATTATATATATGAAAAAAAAGAGTCATCCGATAGAGGGCATTGATATTTATTTGCAAGAGCCGCTCTAGAGAAAAAACTAATCGACTTGAATAATGGCGAATAGAATGAGTCATTCAATCAAAAAAAAAAGAGAAAAATATTCATTCAATAATATAAACGACTGTTACAATTGATTGTTCTATTTCTATTTTAGTCGCCAGCTGTTGTATTTATTCTTTTTTTTTTTGTTGCTTGTTCGCTTAGATACTCTCTATTCATTTTGTTTAATATTGAAAAGAATTAAGCTCAATGGCAGCTGATGAATGTAATATTCGAGTTGTTGCTCGTTTTCGTCCATTGAACGATGCTGAAGAACGTGCTGGTAGTAAAAGTGTTGTTAAATTTCCTGCTGATCAAGAAGAAACCGTTCTTATCAGTGTATGTTTTTCTACAATCTTATTTTATTATTGAATTTTTGTTGTTATTGTTGTTGTTGTTCTTTTTCTAGGGAAAAGTTTATATATTTGATAAAGTATTTCGTCCTGATTCAACACAAGAAAAAGTTTATAATGAAGCTGCTAAAGAAATTGTAAAAGATGTACTTACTGGTTATAATGGTACTATATTTGCTTATGGACAAACATCAAGTGGAAAAACTCATACAATGGAGGTAAAATAATTTGGTTTTTTTTTCTAGTTCAATTTATTTGTTTTATATTTTTTTCTTGTTAGGGTGTAATGAATAGTAATGATCATCAGGGTATTATTCCACGTATTGTACAAGATATATTTAATC